AGCATTGCCCGAATCTGGTGGGAACACCGGATCAGCAATTCTGAAGTACGTTGAGTGGTATTCGGGAGAAATAACCGTCGGTCGATAGATGAACTGATCACACTGCACAGGTTGCGCTGGCTTGGCCACGTGTTGCGTATGCCAGTCGACCGACTTCCTCGGCTCTTTTCAATCGATTAACTAAGTCATCGACTCCCACTTCAATCACACTGCACAGGTTGCGCTGGCTTGGCCATGTGCTGCGTATGCCAGTCGACCGGCTTCCTCGAAGGGCTCTTTTCGCCCAACCATGTGAAGGTTGGAAGAGAGCCAGAGGCGGTCAAACAATGACTTGGCAGCGAATTATGAAAGCCATTACCAGCAAACTCAGCTGCGCTGGTCGCTGCCGTCTTTCTGGATGGGGACCCCGAGACGGGACACATCAATGGCTAGAGACATTATCAGACATGGCCCAGTCGCGCCCTCAATGGCGCTCGTGCATCCAAGCTATTGCCTTCAATGCATAGCTCCTTTTCCAACCCCCCCCCCACTTGACAGCTCACTGACAGTGCTGGATTTATGCAACAATTTACCAGCTCGCGCGTGCGATGCGCACCTACCTACCTACCTCCCCAAAATCATCGGTGAACGAAACTGCGGCAGCTACAACCAGTGTACGACGAGTACGCGGTTCTTACAGCCAACGACGATGATGATGATGCCGACCGAAGCAGTCGTGACAGATCTTGACATCTCTTTCTCAGCCTCAGAACTGCTGTCTCTTGGGGAGTATGTTGATACGACAAACAAATAACGTTCACTGCATAAACATGTGTTAACCTTAATCGAGCAAGACAACTGCACAGTGCAACGACGACTGTTTACCGGGATCCAGTCCAGTAAGGCGCTTTCAGCTGAGTGCATCTCCCACACCGTAGATACCATGCGCCATTGCGTCAGGATCATCAGATACCGAAGAGTGAAATGTGAAACATCCGAATTCGTCCTAAGCGGTTTGAGGAGCACGACCGAAATGGGATCTTGTATACGTGTTTCGTAGACATAACATACACCGACAGAGGGAAAGCAAGGTCTCATCAAGGCATATCTGTTAACCAATTTGACGTAGAGTACGGACAACGTAGCTGCAACGGCTGCAACGTCGTTGAGATCCTTTGAGGTTAGTAAGTGTTTATTTTAGTTTATTTTTCTGGACGAAGGTGAAGAGACGGAGCAGTGGTCAAGTGGTTGGTAGATGTGTTGATTGCACTGCATTGTACAATGGGTGGGAGGGTGTGTGGGAGAAAACCGGTGGGTGAAGAGCTACAAGGCTAAATGATATTTCCCGTTTGCCCATACCGAATAAGTTGAGGCACCCCACCTTGAGGTCTTTGACTCAAGAGTCTGACCCACAAGGTGATGGGAGGATGTCATGAATATTCTTTGTGCTCACATTATCGTTTTGTATTAACCATGCTTTCGCCTTCATTTTCAGCTTATATACGTCTATTCTTAGACAAGTAAAGCGCTATTCATTCTTGTTTTCGCGCTCAATCAGAATCGATATTCTATTCTCCCCAAGATGTCAAGGACATCACCACAAAGTGTACGGTTTGTGCCGCCATCAAACCGCAGTTTTACAAAGCACCCCCCGCTACACTCATCAAAGCGACCCAACCATTTGAACGAATTAGCATCGACTTTAAAGGACCTCTACCTTCTGTTACTCGAAACCGGTATCTCCTTATCATCGTTGACGAATTTTCTCGTTTTCCGTTTGCTTTTCCCTGCGCAGATACATGTGCGTCTACAGTTATTAAATGCCTGTGTGAGTTATTCTCTTTGTTTAGCATGCCTGCATATGTACATTCGGAGCGTGGCTCCTCATTCATATCTGACGAACTGACCACATTCCTACATGACAGGGGAGTTTGCACCAGCCGAACAACTTCTTATAATCCCCAGGGGAACGGGCAAGTCGAACGCCTCAACGGGACACTCTGGAACGCAATCCAGCTTAGACTCAAGACGAAAGGCCTCCAAATCTGTCACTGGGAGTCGGCTCTATCAGATGCCCTCCATTCTATACGGTCCCTTCCCTGCCTCTCCAAGAGTGCCACTCCACATGAACGGACGTTCCGGTTTGAACGTCGGTCATCCTGTGGTTTATCTATACCAACTTGGCTCACTGTTCCAGGACCTGCTTTACTGAAGAGATTTGACCGTGCCTCAAAGTATGAGCCCGTCGTTGAGGAAGTCCAACTTATAAAGTGCAATCCACATTACGCCCGTGTTCGTTTTCCCGGCGGGAAAGAAAGCACTGTATCTGTCCGCCATCTCGCTCTTTGTGGTGATCGCACACATGTCAACGATTTCACGCGTACCTCATCCAATGAAGACAATGGTGTTCATGCACCCCCTCTATCTGACTTGCACACGCCTCCGCTCAATAACATTGGAGATAATATTGACCATAATTCAGTGTCACCCCCGTGCCCGGGCAATGCACCTGCATCTCCAGATACATATGACCCTAGCATCTCTGATTTAGCCAGGCTCCAGCAGCGTACACGGCCTTACAATTTAAGAAATCGAGAAGCCTAACGACGCTCATTATTAAGCATCTCTGATTTACAATCATTCATCCAATACCTGTACCCAATTTATTCCCCTACACACAATCCAACGGCCAGGTTGAATGTCATGAATATTCTTTGTGCTCACATTATCGTTTTGTATTAACCATGCCTTCGCCTTCATTTTCAGCTTATGTACGTCTATTCTTAGACAAGTAAAGCGCTATTCATTCTACGCTATTCATTCTTGCTCTCGCGCTCAATCAGAATCGATATTCTATTCGTCACAGAGGATGCAGGGTTTTGTTCGAGGACTCTGCTCCTAGCATCTGGCTCAATAATCTGAACCGCGAGATAGCGGCTGTTAGGGTTTTCTTGGGGGGAGGGGCACTGCTGAGGAGCCAATGCCTCAGTGGTCTGACCCATTTGGCTACAGGAGGTCGGCCTGGCCCGGGGATGCAGGGAATAAGGCTTTACTGCCTCCTCCTAGAGCAGCTGCGCACAGCAAGTACTTTTTTGAACAGTGTCAGACTCTGGTTTCGAAAGTACTTCGATCATATTGAATAATGTACCGGCGGTCACGGTCAGCCGTTGGGCGATCAAGGTGTTCGTGTCTTGGGGCCGACCTTTTCTAACCCATCCTTCTTCGGTGGAAGGCAGTATCGCTGCTTCCATGATTATGGACATGCTGGTCGCCTAGGGAAAACGCCTTGCTGCCTCCACACTCCCATCGCAGAGTACAGTACGGCTTTTCCTCCAGACCGCCCAAGCCGATGAACGATGAACATAGTCAACAGCCCCAAATGAAAGACCCACAAGGAGAGGGTTAATAATGGGGTGGAAGAGGGAAAATATGTGAAAGAGAAAGGAGCGAGGCACCAGCAGTAGCCTGTCTTCGCTTACTCGTCCTGCTGTATGCAGAAAGCAAGGCGACTCAGTTGATGGCATCACGCTACAGCCGATGCAGCATGAGAGTATTGTTAGCTGTAAATGTCATGATTGTACGAGAGCTGGGATACAGCCAAGGCGCGTACACTTAGACATAACATAAGGGCGTGAAAGAGATAACAAAGAGCTTGAGCACCGTTGGCGTTGTACGCCTTCTATGATGGGGTCCCCGTGACCCCACCTGCGCTTCACTGGAGACATTGCAAGAAATCTTGGCTAATCGATGTCAGTTTCTTTCCAGATTGTCTGGTTAAGCGCTTGGGGGTGCGGGCACCTCAGAACGCTTGACATGGGTCAGCACTAGGTCACCTCCCTCACCCACCTTTTTTCTCTTCTTTTCACTCTAGGGTTTTAAATGTAACCAGACAGACCTAATGTTTGTACGGCAGTGAAGCATCAGTGTACACACTGATGTTGCTGTCTTTGATTATGCTGATGATGCTGAGATACTGTCAGTTCCACAAGCCTGGAGTTGCCGAGATTGGGTTCGATCCACGGATCTTCCAGACAGTAAGTTATGGCCTTAAGCAGTGAGCCACCTGACGCTTGAGACTGCATCACCTACCCGTAAGACTTTGACTGTCAAAATACTCCTGGGGAGCTCCCTGACGAACAAGAAATACTCCAGCCATATTGCTCTTCTTGGATCAGAACCTTTAGAATTGCAAACCATTCTAAACGACAAACAACTGTGCTGAGCATTTCGGTATGCACAACCCACGTGTAAAAAGTCACTGCAAGATTGAGTGGGATCAAAAATAATAAATCGTTCAGCTGTAGCACCCTTTCGGCGCCTGAGCCTTCAACCTCGGTAGACAAGGATACAGCGCTTTGGACCATTGAACTTTGGTGCTCAGGTTTTTCTAGGGAAACTGGCTGCTGTACAACCACAAGGTACATTCAACCATATTTGAAGTCATAAAGTGAGTCACAGAAATCTGGATAAAGGGGGGCCAGTTCCAGCCTGCCGCAAGCACTGGGGTGTCAACACCAAGCATTCCATCAGACAATATAGAGAGAAACTGACAAGAACATCACTGACGCCACAGCCGCCATTTCTCGCAATGTCCGTAGCCAAGCGCAGAAGAGGTCACGGAGACCCCATCCTGACCAATTGCAGTTGTTCCTCATTCTGGTAACGTCCGATGAAATTCGTTGGACCCGTCTTTCACACTGCATAGCTGCCAAACAAGACCAAACAGTAGATGACGGGTTTCGACTCGGCCCGCGAATGCCACGCCACACGGTTGCCGGACAACAAGATCGATCTTAGATCTAAGTAAGATCCGACCCACTTCACGCGCCTAATCTGGCCTCAGATATCCATCATCCACGAAGAACCGAAGTTCAGTTGGATTTCCCCTGAATTCCCCATGCTAGTACACATGGTCCTGGTGCTTAACATGTCTCTAATAGAAGGGGTTTGAGCATTCCCCCCACGTTGTGCCATCTAAAGTCTAAACATAGCACAATACACCTTATCACAATCCAAGAGCGGACATTGACCTTGTCTCCTAAGTTTCAGACAGACGGCACACGCGTACTACCTAGAGCCGGTGGCTCGAAAAAAACAAGGCCACGCCGATCGGACGGACGCACGCCGAAGCGGCCACGAACCAGGAGACGTCATTCGTCGGAAAGACAAAATATGGACCAATCAGAAACTAGCCTCAGTGAGAGGCAGCCGGATTGGTTTTAGGACAACGCAGCTGCAGCCAAACATTGCTCCGTAATTTTTTGAGAGACCGAAGTTGGTGCTCGACTGTGGTGGCTAACTGCTACTCAGCACTACATACCAAGTTCATAATGTACTATCTAAGTACGTGGGACGGCCGGAGAAGCATGCTAACTGCTTTCTCCTTGAGGGACAGAAACAGGGAGCCCACAAGTGATCAAACGATGGAATCTAAAGCCTGCAGTGAGTACTATGCAGATCCGTAACCCGCCACATCCACTCTTATTAAGACTTAACTAACAGCGGCCTCTCAGTCTTCACGGAGGACGTCCATCAACTCTTGCACAGGACAAAACCCTCCAGTGCGTTGGGGCCATTAGCTGTCCGTCCAAGGATCCCTAAGGAAACGTTACTCACACTGAAAAAGCATATCTATCTAGTTT